GGCAATACTACGTTGGGTGCTCACCCAGTAGCACCATCCAGCTCCGTCTACTCGAGTGCTGGTCCGGTAGCAACGACACCGAGAGCCCTGGTCGGGAAGCGCGTCAGGCCCAGCCACGGACACAAGAGAAGCGGAAGCCTGACTGATTCTCTCAGAGAAAAGCAGCATGCAGCGGAAAAGACGATATTCCAGGAGACCGAGTTTCTCATGTCGCTGCCTTTTGCTGGCAGTCTCGTCAGGGGAAACTTGATGCCTCCTGGCCAGCCGTACGTTGAAATGATGTCTCCTAGTCTTAGCGGCGAAAACCAGCGACAGACCACCCTATTCCAAGTGCCCCCTGAGCACAGAAGCACCGCATCGGCGATGTCGGGACAAGGTATGAGGAAGCTGATCGGCAGCGTACGACGTGCGCTCAGCACGCGAGGACAGAACGTCTCCCCAACCCAGGGCAACTTCATCAACCTTTCGCCCATTGGACCCCGTGGAGCCACCACTAACCGGCTGCCTGGGACCGCCATCGTCCCGCAAGCTCAACCACGACTGAATGGCACCCGGCCCCCTGTTCGACTCGACCTATTGGGTGCAGAAATTGTGGAGGACTTCAAGAAGGCTGTTCGAGAAGACGCCGCGGTGGAGGCTGCGGCAGATGCTGAACGACGCGGCTATCTCAATCCGACCATCGGAGCGCTGCATAGTGCACTTCCTGATGGAGCCCTGGATTACTCCGCGGCCCATATCACGTCGGCCTTTGGCAGCAGCATCCACGACAATGACACCCTTAGACCTGTCAGCGACATGGCCATTACCACCGGGAGCAAGTCGATTGTCATCGTCGACGACACAGTGACCAGCCCTCTTCCCGCAATGCATGGAGCAATTCCAGTCAATGATTCCGTGGAGGCCTTTGCCGATTCTTTCATGCCGCCTGCAGCTGATCCGACACCGCCGAACACGCCGCCCGGACATCTGATGGGTACCCCTAGACGGTCTTCATATCTTCTCAATCAGCATGTCATAAGACCGTCTCTATCTGCCGATCCCTTACCGCCATTCGTTCCTGACTTAGCAACGCTGGGCGATAGTCAGACACGTCCCTCTGTAGACACTGATCGTCCCGCATCAGACACTGTAGGACTGATTTCAAGGCGTCCCACTCTCAGAAGATCCGTGAAGAGGCATATTCGTCAAAAGTCGAGCAGGACCAATCGCTCCCTTGATTCTGCTACGATTCCCCGACGTGCTGCCTCTTTCGGAAGTGCTTTCAACCCACGCTCGACAGTGAAGAGCTTCGATGCGACGACTTACTCGGAGAACTCGATTTCTGACGAGGACGAGCCCAGTCCTGTGCCTGAACCTCTCCGCATCCTGAGACGACGCCCCGGCGGTGACCTGCGAGCTGTAAATAATGTCGGCGATTTGGACGCCTTCCCACTGCGTAAGTCGCGGTCTGCTGGCTCCCTCACGACGTACTCGGAGTCTATGCGAAGCTCCTATCTGCAAAGCTCGAACCATGATACCAGTGCCTTCGTCGACGTCGTCTCTAGCGAGTTTTCCCACCAGGACAACGCGGAAACCTTCTCGCTCGGGGCCCTGGCAGAACCGTCAGCCAAACGTCAAGTTTCTCTGTTCAGCACACACTCGTCTAAACCAATCATGCGTCCATCTTTCGAGGCGGAGGCACAAAAGCTGGCACAAATTCCAGACGATGCTGACGATGACGGCGGAGTTGAGTCGGCTCTACTTAAGCTGGAGGGCAAGTACGAGAAGAGAACATTCAAGCTGTCCATGGAGCCCGCCAACACCCCTCTTCCAGGTGTGATCGCAGAGATGGTGGCAAAGAATGACATGGAAGGATCACCCAAGCAGGGCAGACAAAACCGGCACTTGCATGTCTTGCCTGGAGATGCGATCCCGACTCACCAGCATCAAGAGGGACCTGATGCACATGCAAGTTTCCTTGATATTCCTCAACGACCGCCCACAGAAACAGGCTCGTTCCTATCCGAAAAGTCGGGAGGATCGTATTGTTCGATCCCCCTTTTGGAACGAGATTTCTCAGATGACGGCCAGAGCAAGGCAAGCGTTCGCGAGTGGACCAATATGTCCATTCTTCAGGGACCAGACGACGATATCACGCCGGCTGTGACACCTCGTCCCATGGAGGACACTGGATCCCATCATTCTTCCTACGAGTTCGTTCGTAAGACAGAGAGTATGGAGAAGATCAAGTCAGGTGACACAAAGGCGCCGCCGAGCGAGCAGTCATTCCTGGAGGACGATAGTGATGGAGAGGACGACAATGTTTCCGACCTATCTTCCGAGCTTTCGGCAGAGGTTGTCGAAGCAGACGAGTTTGTCGCACCGAAGCCGCAGGCGCCCAAGTCACATCGCAGCGCCTCGATTTTGGAGTTCGACCCTCGTCCTCTGCGAGAATCAGTCGTTAGCCCTGTTGACAGCCAAAATCCTCCCTCGCCGCCAATGACACTCGTCCAGGCTCTTCGTATGTCGCCTGAAGCTGCCATGATCCCGGAGCTCCGCGAGAGTCAAGTCTTCCAACGGAAGCCCCTGCCGCTAACTCCCGACGCAACTCCGACTGATGCTTTGTACCTCAACTCCCCTGCTGATCCCACTGGTACGAAGGAGGCCTTGCGCGGGCAGCCAAAGATACCTGACGAAGAGCGAGAGTCGTCATTGAGATTCTCGGTACATCTGCCCTTCATCCTTGCCTTCGATTCAGAGATCTTGGCCCAGCAGTTCACTCTCATTGAAAAGGACGCTCTGAACGAGATTGACTGGAAAGAGCTCATCGAGATGGGCTGGAAGAACGCAACCAACAATGACTCCAGGTCTTGGGTTGACTTTCTCCGGAACACAGATGCTCATGGCGTTGAAGTAGTCATCGCTCGCTTCAACATCATGGTCAAGTGGGCCTGCAGCGAGATTGTGCTGACCCAGAACATTGAAGAGCGGGCGCGCTGTATCATCAAGTTCATTCACATCGCAGCTCACTGCCGCCGCTACCGCAACTTTGCCACCATGAGCCAAATCACCATTGCTCTCACGTCGATGGAGGTGTCGCGGTTGACGAGAACTTGGGCCATGGTACCGCCTTACGATATGAAAACTTTGCAAGAACTCGAGGGTCTTATCTCCCCCACACGAAACTTCTACAACTTGCGTGCGGAGATGGAGGGAGGCTCAGACGATGGTTGCATCCCATTCGTCGGCATCTACACCCATGATCTTCTATTCAACGCGCAGCGGCCGTCTGAGATTGCTAGCTCGCCGACAACCGCCCCTCTGGTCAACTTTGAGAGGTGCAGGTACTCGGCTACCATTGTCAAGACATTACTTAGGCTACTGGAGGCCAGTACTCTGTACGAATTCCAGCCTGTTGAGGGCATCACTGAGCGCTGCCTCTGGATGAGTGCTTTGAGCGACGAAGAGATTCGCAAACACTCTCACCGCCTAGAGTAGGCCAACATTGGCACTGCTCGCGGCATCTATTACTTAATTACGTCATTTTCATAATGACGGAGCCTATAAGGCAATTACGACCATCGAAAGATACCCGGATTTTGTACATGTGCTTCTTACGGATCACGACCTTCGCTCACGTTTCCTTCCCCAAACCTGTATAACAAGCACATACCCAAACTACACCTTCGTTTAAGGCTTCTTTCAGCGATCGTCGTTCTACACGACCCTACTTGAGGTGGCATCCTCGAGGTAGTGGAAATATACCCTGTACTGTTAATTTTAACAAGATATCACAAGAGCATACACGGCTCGGATTGGAGGGTGAAGTAAGAGGTGGCCATGGTAGGCCCAAACATGCACATAGATACTTATGGCAGTCTATACCCCAACTCAGCGTCATTTGAGCGAGCGAGCGAGCGATCAGGCAAGCACAAGGAGTTGTTAGGAAATGGGACTTTTGGGACGGAACGAAGATGTCGGGCTTCCTAGGCTCAGGGCTTTGTCTCTTGAGCGACGAACGTTCAATACCCCCTTGCATGTTAGATTTATACTCTAGGCGAGTAAATCAGAGAAATGTTTCCAAAATTAATAATGCTACTCCCATTCGTGACTCTTCTGGTGGCCCCTTGCAAGTCATACGCGTGTAGTGATCCGGTTACCACTCGCCAACAACCATTGTTACTTCCACAACTGTCCAATCATGAAACGCGACCAAGGAGATGACCGAGGAGATGACCGGCATAGACAACAAGCCGCCTTAGGCTCGCCTTTCTGCTGCCTTTAAGCCGTCTTGGTTGGGAACGGATTTCAAGATGTCGCTTGACAAACCAAGGGCTAGCTGGGAAAATTCGTCCTGCCAGATCGGCGGATTTTGGTCTGATCTTTTTGTTTCTCGGTAGACTGTTACGATCGACGCATTGGAACGAATGTTTGGCATGCCAATACCGGCAGTGAGATGGCTTACAGAGAACAGCAGATGGATGACAGGACGTGGGCGTTCAGGACAGTTCATGGAGGATACCGAAGTCACGTCACCACTCAAACACATGTGGAAGCGCAGGTGAGAGACCAACGACGGTTGTGGTATTTTGCAATGCGAGTTCTTCATCAACCAGAAGCCTCGAAGAGTAAAAGGGCGGGATAACGATCAAGTCCACCCCTACTGGGCCCACAGGGCTTTCCCTCTCCCCCAATACATGCACAATCCAGAGTATAGACTATATCACGGATTTGGTTCGAGTATCTTTCCCTCATTAGTGCGGCCGAGTTTGAACCCTTTGCCCCAAGATGCTACCAGCAATCATAAACAACTCCGGGAAGACGTATCTACCATTTTTCCATGACCATTGCTGTGTTTTCCCGCCGACCATTTTTGCAAGTGTTTTGACGAATCGCTTTTTCAATCCCACACTCAAGGGAGGGATCTTTTTCTCGTGTTCGTTTTGTCTTTTTGGTTTGTCATTGTCCGAAGTCCCTTTCGTTTGGTCCACTACCTGACCGACACCGCAATATCAGGAAGTTTACCACTGAGACTCCTTGGGAGCGGCAGCGGCAGAGGCCTCGCCGGCCCAGTCGCCAGCGGTGCCGGCAGCGCCAGCGGCAGCCCAGTCACCCTCAGCACCGTCCCAGTTGGTGGCGGCGGGGGCACCGGTGAAGCCAGCGGCAGCAGGGGCAGCGTCCCAGTCACCACCGGCGGCAGGGAAGCCGGACTCGATGGCAGCGGGGCCCTCCTCCTCAACGCCAGGGAGCTTCTCCTCCTCAACCTTGTCCTCGGCCTCGGCCTCAGGGTCGCGGTCTGTTACGGCGCAAGCGCGCACTCGGTTAGCCATTGTCCAGCACCTTTGTCATAAACAGCGAGAAACACATACAGAAGTACAGATCAACCATGACGTCCCAGGGGGTCTCGCGGTTGTAGATGGTGCCGCGGAGGCGGAGGACCTCACGGGCGAGCATCCACCAGACGAGACCGATGGAGTGACGGCCCTTGTTGTTGGTGGGGATGGCAACGTCGACGTACTCGGTGGGAGAGTCGGTGTCGCAGAGGGCGATGACGGGGATGTTGACGTAGCTAGCCTCCTTGATAGCCTGGGCGTCGGTGCGGGGGTCGGTGACGATAATCAGGCGGGGCTCCTTGAAGGAACGGGTGATGTAGTTGGTGAAGGAACCGGGGGTGAAGCGACCGGCGATGGCAACGGCACCGGTGTGGGAAGCGAACTTGAGGACAGCGCGCTGGCCGTAGGGACGGGCGGAGATGACGCAAATGTCGGCCGGGTTGTCAATGGCGGCGATGATGCGGGCGGCCAGGACAATCTTCTCCCTGTAGGTTGGCGCAAAAAAGTCAGCGAATGCTGCAAATCGCTGCTGATGCGCGCGCAAACAGGCCAAGGAAAGAATTTTGGTGTATGATTTTCCCTCCTGCGTCGCAAGCTCGTCGTCTCGGATCGGTTTCTTCTTACCAGGTCTTGCCAACGTTGATCACGTTGACACCGTCGGCGCGGGTCTTCCAGAGGTAGGGCTCCATGTGAGTCTGGAGGTTCTTGCTTCCCAGGTGGGCTTGAGCTGCAAGCAGCATCTCAATGTCCTGGGAAGTGGCATTGAAGACCGAGGGCAGGTTAGCGGGAGCCATCTTGGGCGATTTGGGTCGATCTTCCACGGGGGTGACGAGGGGCGACTTGGTGGTGATGGAGGAGTATTTTCGATCAAGAGCTTCTCGTGAGGAAAAAAGTTCCAGGCAATATTCAGAGAAGTGTGCGCGCTCGCCTGCCCTGACCGCGCTAGCCGAACCGGGACTAGCCGGACTTGGGGTCGCAGCTGGTTCTCCCGGCACGTGATGATACGCACTAGGCCGAGTATGGATTATGGCCCCACCCTTTCGAGCGATTGGAAGACGGGGCCATTGAGGCTGGAAATTTTATGGCGACCCTCCACGCCGATGATCGTGTTGAAGGGGAACTGTCGCCGCCATGCCTCCCAGATTACAGAGCCTGCAACGGCTAGGCACCGTTAGCCGTAAGCTCCAGCTGCGATTCAATGTGTGAAGGACGTGAACCGACGGCTAATTGCTCGAGATAGTGTGCCTGCGCCCAGCTATGAGGCCAGCAACCCCGAGCTTCCTCCCCGTGGTCCAAACCGCCAACCTCTCCCTTAGGGAGCGGAAGCGCAAGGCGAAGTCAGACCCGTACCGATACCAGCAGGCGCAGCAGCGCAAGGCCGCCAACGTGAAGAGGCAGGCTGAGATCCAGGCGGAGAAGGACGCGAACTGGGGCGACCCGATCCATGGCATCCCATCTCCCTTTGTCGAATCGTTCGACTCGGCCGGCCAAGCGCCCAAGACACCCGATATCAAGGACGGAAAGGGCAAAATCATCGCCGAAGGCCATGCGCTTCCGACAACACCGGGACTGCTCAACCACCTGGTCACCCGCGACGAGCTGGAACAAGTGATACAGAAGGCGTACACCCTCACGAAGCCGTTGAAGAGCGACAACCCCGAGACGGCAGACCCCGTCAAAGAGCAACAGGCGGAGCAGGAGCACGAGAAGAACCATGCTAAGGTGGTGGAGATTCTGAACCGCATTCTCTCTCTGGAGAACGCCAACTCCAAGATCCTTCTGCACAGTAACATCAAGAGATGCGTGGAAGAGTTTGGACGTCACAACACCGACAAAGTCCTGAGACAGAAGCCAAAGTCGGCCCTCGCCGACCCCAACGCTCCCCCGAAGCCCGAGAGAGCCGGGCCCGACACAGGAAGCTCAGAGGTGCAGATTGCGATCCTGACGGCCAAGATCAGGAAGCTGGCCAAGGAGCTGGGCCAGAACCGCGGATACAAAGACAAGCACAACAAGAGGAATTTGAGAGTGCTGTGCCACCGGAGGCAGAGGTTGATGAGGTACATGGAGAAGAAGGAGAGAGGCAGTGAGAGGTGGACAAGCATGCTGGAGAAGCTGGGTCTGTCACCAGCAACCTGGCAGGAGCAGATCAGCTTCTAGGGAATGAAGATAGAAGACTTGTAAAACTCAGACTTGTAATTGTCCTCTATGTACAATATAGCGATCGGTACAGATGCTGATCTCCCCGTCATGAACCTGAGCTGCCTCCTTGCGCCGTGATGAACCTGCCATTGAAACGATGAAACACTGGTATTCTACAAAACTTAACAGAACAGTGGGAAACACCAAACTCAGAAAACGCTGATGTAGTTGCCGATCCGGTCCTTCTGGTTCTGGGCTATGCACTCAGCGATCCAAGTAATGTTTCGGATTTCCTGTGGTACGTCAGTTGAGGTTCCAGGTATAGTAACCGGAAGATCTTACCTGCTCACGAAGCCTCACCCAGGCGTAAACAATGGCAAAGGTGAATTGTCTGGTGAAGGCGCTCTTGGAAATTTCCATCTCCTTCTGGTAGAACATATCCTCCAAGCTCCTGCCATCGGCGCTGGAGCCGCCACCCATGTTGCCGGGTCCAGAGGGGCCACCACCAAGACCGGCGGCCTCAAAGAAGCTTTTGTAGTCCGAGACACCATCAACAGCCAGGCGGACACCTTCGAAGTCATCTGCTCTAGAGAGCATCAAGGTGCCCTCCGGATACAGCTTGCCGAAGCTGGGGTAGAGCTTCTTACGGTCGGACTTGTTCAGCTCGGTACCGAAGGAGTTGAGGGTGATGTTAATGGCACGGCGATCGGCCTCGAACTCGAGGATTTCGGACATGATCTCGGAGGTGGGCGAGCCGGACATCTCAGGGTGCGTGTTGACAAAGTTGTAGAAGTCCTCGAGGTAGTTCTTGTACAGGGTATTGCGGACAATCTCGATGTTGAGCTCATCGAGATCCTGGTGGCTAAGACTGCCCTTGAAGTAGGCTGCAAGAGGCGTCTCGATCAAGACACTGTTGTACAGCTCCTCGATGTTCGTTGCGACGCACAGGACGGGCATGGTCTCGAACCAGCCAAGGGGATGGCATCTCTCGAGAAGCTCACGGGTATCTCGCTCGTGAAGGGTGCCGGTAATCAACAGGGCGACGTTGTCGATCATGTAGCCGTAGGTGAGATAGTCCATGAACTTGGCGAGAGTGCCAGTAGCGTTGGCTCGAACATAACGGAACTCGGAGACGAGCTTATCGGTCGTCTTCGCGGCCAGGGCTGACGTCGAGGGGTTGGGAGGGAGGTTGCCGAGGAAGTCGCCATAGGCAGGGCCAAGCTGCAGCTTGAGGTCTGGAAACGAGTCAGAATGTCATCGCATCAGATGGAGTGCTGATACTGACCATCGATGGTCTCGCACTGGGTCAAGTTGCTGTAGCTGGAGCTTGTAAGGAGGCCATTTCTGTAGCCACGGACAATGCCCTCGAGGAAGCTGTAGGATGATCAGCGACGAGCGTAACAACGCCACACGCCATGGTCTGCTGGTGACCTACCCGCTGTTGACGTTGAAGAAAAGACCCTCCATCTTGACGTTGGATATTGCTTGCTGATGCTCGATGCAAGAGAGCTGTAGAGGTGACGCCGGTGTTGTGGAGGCGCAAACGGAGACAGCTGCGGTCGTGGATATTACGCTTAGGACTCGGCCAAACACTGCACTCGAAGCATCCAGGTCCCAGCCTGGCGTCCCAGTCCCCATCATTACCGTGCAGAGAGTGGCGCACGGGCCCACCGGATTCAGCCAGTCGGCGAAACGGTTTTTACGCGCTCCGAGCCATCCCACTTGCCAATTGGTCTAGAGTGGGGGCGCCCAGTTCCGCCGTCGAAAAAAATTAGGTGGAGCTTGGTTCAGAAAAAAAATATTTCCAAACCCATCAACTCGCTTCTCGAGCCTGCCTCCGCGGACAACAACATTTACACCCACGCGCGGAGGATTTTACCCGAGGGATCTGTACGGCTTGCTTGGAAGGGATCAGACAAGATTTCACAATGTCTCTCTTCGTTCTCGCCGAAACGCCGGCAGGGTAAGTTTTTCTACAACAAGAACGAAAAAAAAAGATGGCGTTGGACACCCGCAAGCTAACACGAGACACAGCTACGGTCTGTTCAAGGCTGCTGACAAGAAGCTCCTGAAGCGCGATGAGCTCACTTCTGGTCCTACCTCTTCGGAGAAGATCAATGAGATGTAAGTCGCGTCCACAAAAGCCAATGGCTAACCGTCCCTCGCCGACCAGCCAAGGCGCGCCTCGCGGTGCAGCTCTGGGCTGGAGACCGCGAAGAACGGCCGCACAACTGCGAAACAAGGACGCAAAGCTGACCGTCGCATAGGCTCAAGCTCAAGTCCTTCGTCAAGTTCGATAGCTCCGCCGTCGCCGTCGAGGAAGCCGCTGGTCTCAAGGAGGGTCGCGTTCCCCCATTGCTCGCCAACCTGCTCAAGGAGATCAAGGACGAGAAGAAGGCCTCGCTCGCTGTGGCCGACATTAAGCTCGGTACTGCGATCGGAAAGCTCCCCGAGTTGAACATTCAGGCCGTCTCCGACGCCGTCACCCTGGACCTCTTCCGTGCTGTTCGTGAGAACATGTCCTCTTTGGTGCCTGGCCTCACCACCGAGACCATGGACCGCATGGCCCTCGGTTTGTCCCACTCCATCTCCCGCCACAAGCTCAAGTTCTCCGCCGACAAGGTCGACGCGATGGTTGTTCAGGCTATCAAGCTGGTGGACGACCTCGACAAGGAGCTGAACGTCTACGCCATGCGCACGAAGGAATGGTACGGCTGGCACTTCCCCGAGTTGGCCAAGATCCTCAACGACAACCTCGTCTACGCTCGTCTTGTTGTCGCTGTTGGCATGCGTCAAAACTTCGCGGAGACCGACCTCTCCGACATCCTCCCCGAGGAGCTCGAGGGCCCTGTCAAGACTGCTGCAGAGATTTCCATGGGAACTGAGATCACCCCTGAAGATTTGGACAACATCCAACTGTTGGCCCAGCAGACCATTACCTACTCCGAGTACCGCGCTCAGCTCTCCAACTACCTTGAGACCCGTATGCGCGCTCTCGCTCCCAACCTGACCGCTCTGGTCGGCTACCTCGTCGGTGCCCGTCTGATTGCCCACGCCGGTTCCCTCATCAACCTGGCCAAGGCTCCCTCCTCCACCATCCAGATTTTCGGTGCTGAGAAGGCCCTGTTCCGTGCGCTGAAGACAAAGCACGACACACCCAAGTACGGTATCATCTACCACTCTTCCCTCGTCGGCCAGGCCACCGGCAAGAACAAGGGAAAGATTGCCCGTTCGCTCGCCGCCAAGACTGCTCTCGGTCTTCGTGTCGATGCCCTCGGCGATACCGAGAACCAGGACGATGAGGAGGAGAGAAGCATCCTCGGCCTCACCAACCGCATCAAGCTTGAGAACCTCCTCCGCAAACTGGAGGGCAAGCCTCTCCTGCCCAAGGGTGTCGGTGTCGGCCCCGACGGTCAGCTCACCACCCCTGGTGGCTTCAGCCTGAAGGAGAGCCGCAAGTACAACGCCGACGCCGATGGTGTCGAGACCAACGGCAAGCTTATCCAGGTCGTTGACGAGGAAATGAAGGATGCCGACAGCGAAGACGAGGATGAGGAGATGAATGACGCGAGCGAAGAGGAGAAGAAGAGCAAAAAGGACAAGAAGAAGGAGAAGAAGGAGAAGAAGCGCGTCTCCATCGCCGCAGCCGAGACCCCCGTCAAGGAGAACAAGACCGTCAAGGGCACCCCCGCGAAGCTCAGCGAAAAGGACTACGAGCGTTTGGCCGAGGAGGCCGGCATCAGCGTGTCCAAGTTCAAGCGCAAGTTCGAGCGCGGCGACGTCCAGCTCGGCGAGGACGGCTCTCCCGTCGTCTTCAGCAAGAAGGAGCTCAAGAAGCTGCGCAAGGACGGCGAGGAGGCCGACGCGACGCCAGTCAAGGAGAGCAAGAAGAAGCGCAAGCACGAGGACGACGAGACGCCCAAGAAGGAGAAGAAGCTGAAGAAGAAGCGCAGCTCTCTTGGTGCTTAGGAAGGGACCAAGCAGAAGCGGCGTCGCATTTCTTATTCATAGACGGCACCTTGGGCCTCATGTGGATCAAAATCTTCTTCAATGCGCTGTATGATACCTTGATCTCTCTGGCCGGCGTTATGGGATGGACCTGGGGGTTTTATATGGTCTGATCATTGGATGGGCATAGTTTCTCTTTTTACTGGCAGGAAAAATGCAATGTAATTGCTCGCTTGACCGACGTCCCGCGTCGTGTCCTGTGAACCAACCTCCGTGACATGTACAGCGCGCACACCGCGCACCAAACCCTCGACTACACTCCGAGATCTACCACGCTCCCCATGGTTTATTTCGATTTTTGTTTCGAGGAAGATGAACAGCTCTTCGGAGCAGAGCCCAATACTCACCGCGACATCCAATACACCATGGAAGTCGAGGTCCACCAACGTGGCTCACATGCTAAGACATGTGTGTTTCTTGAGACATAGGTATCCAATCCTTACGACGTGTCAACTGGCAGTGGCAAGATCGTCTGTTGAAACATGAATCACCGCCGATGGCAACGTTGCAGCGTATCCCTTCACATGCGCAGAAGCTATCAAGATACACCAGCAGAAGTAGTCAATTCAATATGATAACCTAAAGTTTTCCCTTGCATAACTGTGCCAACTCTATGTTCACGATCCGACGGGAATGCAGCGGCGGCCCTTGTCTCCCCTGGTACAAATCGGTGGCTTCTGGGCCCATTTGCAGCACTGTTGTCATGTCAGACAGATGGGCGCGGATAAGATGCAGCTAATGACTTACGCGGTAGTGTGCCTTGCCTGGGCACTCGCCACTGCAAAAGCATGAGGTTAGCAGGTTCCTATTTGGAGTCGATGATTGTTCAAAACGACAGAGAGAGGGCGCGCGGTTGACATACGTAACGTAGCCGCCGGGGCAGGAGAGACTGTCCTTCTTGCAGATGCCGCTTTCGGTTTTGCAGTCGGGGTAAAGACAGCACTTGACATTGGCTGGATCGTTGGGGCATTTATTGTTCACGGTGAGACCGTTTAGGGAGCTACACTTCGACGTTTTTTGACAGGTCCCGACGTTCCCCTGGAGAATGTCAGAGTCGGCGGACAAAAGGCTCGACCTTCACCCGCTTACATTGCTGTCCGTGCAATAGTCGTCGATGGCTCCGAGCGCGCTGGAGATGAGCAGAGCTGAGAAGATGACAGACGCCTTCATGGTGATGTACGGTCAAGTAGGTTTACAAAAGATGTGTCTGAGCTGATGAATGACAATGGCTTCCTGGAAGGAAATGGACGGTCTTTTATAGATTTCGGGTAGTTAGCCTCTTCAAGAGCTGGCGAATGAGATTTTCATCAACGTGAATCCTCACGCCCTTAACATACCATCTGGAAAGTGCAAACACCTGGTCTTACGTCCATCGTCTGCATATTCTAGCTGCCCGTCTGGGGTCGTGTAGTAACTGGAACATGCACGTCGCCGCTATCAAGACCAGGGCTCCAGGCCAAAAGTACCGGGCATTGAGACCAGAATAGACTCCAGCTAGTTGCTTTGGGGGTGTTGAAATGTTGTCATTGGTTGACTTAAAGTTGATCGGGCGGTGGACAGATTGGGCAACAACTCAGGGTCAGACAGATGCAGCTGGTTTGAGGCAATTCGCAAAGTTCTTGTACCATAGACTGAGTAACCTGAGAGAGGGGTTGCATTAGTCTCGCGATATCCTGAGACGGAATTGGAAGGAGCTGCTGTTGGTCCAGCAAGGCCGGAATAGATGGCTTACACGGGTCGGGGTAAAGTTGGGCCTGGACCATACAAAAAGCAAATGAGGCTTTCAGCTGAACTGCAGCTTGTTAGCGAAGAACAACTCCACCAATCAATAAAAAACTGGCTAGAGTGTTCTTGGATATCCTCAGCCAACCCTCTCCAGGGTCAGTCAAGTTGCTCAACATCTGGAACTAGGATGTTGCAACCTGGGACAAAGGTCAGGCGACAACTCTGGGCCACCCTGCGAAGTAAGTCAACGCATGCAACCCTGAGACTATTTCAAGAAGTTAAAGCAACGCTGAGTCACCTCGCTAAGACTATTCTTACCCTTCATACCTTGTATTATGCCATAGCCTACTGCTGTACCGTAGACGATGTCTCGGTGAGCAATTCTTCACCGACAAGCGAGCACGTGACTTTGGTTGGCCCCACGGGGTGCCCGTTGCTGGTGCTCTCACCATCACAGTGCCATTTCAGATCACATTTGGCACCCCGATCAGTCCCTGCATTCATCATTCGCAATGGTCAGCGGTATGGATGGCCAGAGGAGGTCGAACGTGAGTGCCACTCTGAACAGGCCAACGCTTCATGCTTCTCCAGGAGGGGCTGAGGATTTCGGCAGCGGACGGAGCTCCCTGGGCCTCGACTCCGGGCGTCAGGAACAGTGGATGAACGATTATTATGATCGCAGGGCGACCAGAAATCACGGCCCAAATGGTAGGTCTGGCAGTTTCCTTGTGTCCAATCAATGCAGCAAGACAGAAGCAGGGTCGTCTTTGCCACCGCGCCAGCAGCGACCGCAGCGCGTACCTTCAGGTAAGGTAACCAGCCCAGGGGTACCTCCCTCATCGGCGTCATAAAACTAGCGCCGCGTCTTTGTCTCGTCGTCTGGCAACGGTTTCGCTGCATGGCGGTCTGCCTTGAAAACGGCAGGCAGGCAGGTGAGGTTGAGTTTGCTCTGCTGCCTCCAATAGGGACCTACCTGCCTAGCTTGGGAAATACCTACGTTACTCTTTCTGGTGGAAAGAAACAAACGGGCAGCGACTGGCAACTGCAAACCAGCTGCGCCTTTTGACGCGACCCTGTCATCGGTTTCGGACGATTCGACAAGCAAGAACCCAGTCACGCAGCTGTCCCTGTTTCAACATCCGAATTCTTCTTCACCTCACCCACGCATTGGATTGGCCCTGCTGCTGACTCATCTCTCAACCCAGGTGGCTCGCATGCAGACGACGACGCCTCTGATGACGGCGAGGCATTCCCCCCACAACGCGTCAACTGGGCTGCTATGAGAGCAGATGCAAGCATGGAAGAGTATCTACGAAATGCACAGATTCCCGAGTACTCGGATGAAGAGGGCGGCAGCGGCCCTCTGGAAGACCTCGGTGACATCTCCGCCGAGGACACCAGTGTCGAAGACGGCGAGAACCACATCGGCCAGCAAGAAGAAGAACCCGAGTTCGATCCTGTTGCTGCCGGCCTGAAGGAGATCTCAAACCTGGGGAAGTTCACCGTCAGCAGCCACAAGCAGGGGAATGGCGTTGATCAGCTCCGGCATGACAGCCTTAAGAGTTACTGGCAGTTTGTCTCCCTCTGCGCAATGCATTGGCAAGGACAGCACGAGACTGACGGCTTGCAGATCCGACGGGCCTCAGCCCCACAAATTGACCGTCTACTTCATCAAGCGTGTCGGCATCAGAGACATCCGCTTCTACGTGGACTATAACGAGGACGAGTCCTACACGCCCACCAAGATCATCTTCAAGTCAGGAACCAGCGAGAACAATCTCATTCAATTCGCCACTATGGATCTGTCTGCACCTTCAGGATGGCAGCTGGTTCCCATCGCTGGCTCCGGCGGTGGTCCTGACGGCAACACCCTGGTGTCGTATGTGTTCCAGATGCAGATACTCGAGAACCACCAGAACGGCAAAGACACGCATCTCCGTTCTATCAAAATCTACGCAGCGGACACCGATGGCGCGAATGTCGAACGCGAACGGGACTCTAACAACGTCTCTGTACACAGCGTGAGTATGATTAATTGTATTGTAATTCGCCCGGCTGACAAGTTCATGCGAAGGACCTCACCATGGAGGACGTTGCTGCGGATGAAAGGCCAGCCGACCCCTGGGACATTTCTGTACTTGAAGCCGGCCTTCCTATTCCCGACTTTATGAAAGAGCCTGAGATTCGGTGAGCGATGGGATACACGGCAGCCCCGGCTCTTGACATTCATTACACCGGACAGTCGTGCCGGAAGCCTGGTTTACGAATTTCACGAACGAGAAAATGCGAGTGTGACGGATATTAGTAGCATCAGTTCTTGTTTTACTGTAATGATACCCAAATCGGACACGGAAAAGACCCGGATGAGAATCAGGCGTTGGATGGGGAGGTGCAGGTCAGGATCGAACGTCGGACGGTTGAAGTCACGCACCACCACGATGATGTGAATCTATACTCATTCACTGATTACTCAATATAATAGGTTGAATCCCATTCCTGCTCCATGGTCTTGGCGTCGTTCAACGACTGGTCGACCCCCGCAGGTTGCAGCAGCATGTAGGGAGCTTAGCGCGAGCGGCTGAGTTTTGGTGTGGCAGGTTTGCTCTCTGCATTCATCGTGATCCCTGCAGAGCCGGACGAATTAACCCGTATCTGACAGCGCGACGGGATTGCGACAACATAACACACGTGATGTGGTGGTGAGCTACTCGCATCACAGTAGCGGACGCGAGGCTGACCTCTGGAACACTCAGATCTGAAGCATCGAAGTCTGCGATACCCAACACCTTGCGATGATGGAACAAGATGAGTCGTATCGTTATCAGCCTCTGCCACCTGTTGTTGAGCAAAATCGTCCACCGCCTTTCACACGGCTGCTGTTACTCAAACCAGGGTCAGCTGAAGACCCTTTCGAGGCACATCTAGAGCTTGTCCACATCGAGCAAGCTCCTCCCTACGAAGCCTTGTCCTACACTTGGGGCAAGCCGACAGAACAACCGAGAGACTACATTTGGCTCGACGGCCATCCATTACCCATCAAACCAAACCTCGAAGATGCGTTACGGTCACTGCGTTTCCCGAACCAAGCTCGGCGTCTCTGGGTTGATGCTCTCTGCATTGACCAGTCGAACCTGGACGAGCGCGCTCGTCAGGTTCAATACATGAGGCTAGTCTATAAGAATGCCGCCCGTGTCATTGTTTGGCTGGGCCTCAAGACGAGTGGGACTCATGAAGCATTGCAAGCTGCGGAGAAGATTGCTAGACTCAGAGAATACACAGACCCGGTTCGCAACGGCGCGGATAGTGCTCCGCCTGACTCGGATACTCTTCAGGCTCTAGTCTCTAGCATGATGGAAGATATCCCTGAGTCTGCCATGACGAATTTGGATGAGGTGTTCCAACGGCCGTACTTCACTCGCTGCTGGTGCGTCCAAGAGGTCGTGGTATCGACCTGGGCCGTAGCCAAGATTGAGGATTTGGAGATGTCGTTTTTCGACCTGATCGCATCATCCTTATTCCTAGTACAATTGAAACAAGAAGTGGCGGTCAACGCACCATGGGAGCTATGGAACAATATCTTGATGGTCCGGCAGCCCAACCATCCAGTGTACCAGACAGAGGTGCAAGGTTCTCTGGGCGGCTTTCTGCACCTTCTGGAACTCACACGAACCTTTCAGGCGACCGATGACCGCGACAGGATATTTTCTTTGCTGGGGATCTGCGACGAGGGAATCAATCCTATACTGGCTTTGACAGCGACTGCGAGTGGCCAGGTAAGCTGGCGCGGCCGCCTGGTCCGTCGCGGGTTGAAGCGAATATCTGATTTCATCAACGACTTCCACCCTCAAGGCACTTTCGGCACGCCCAAGGCGCTGATGCCGGACTACAAGCGAGAGACAGTGGCGGTCTACTGCGACTTGGCCAGGTTTCTCCTCCGCAAGACACCGCGGGTGCTGGACGTCCTTGACCATGTTTCGCACAACGAGGAGCCTGGGACGGGAGAGTACCCGTCTTGGGTACCTAAATGGTTCGAGGGAAGAACGTGTCTCGTCTTTAGAGGAGTCTTCTTTACTGGATTCTACTCGAAAGGCCGCACTGATCCATATCTGGCCGATCTGCACGATATTCCTGCGGTAGCTGCGCCGACGCGACCGCGGGTCCTCTCTGTCGATGGATACCATGTGGACGTCGTGGAAAGGATGAGCGATATATTTGAGTTTGTCTCCGGGTCCAGGCTCGCAGGGTTTGCCGTTATCAAGGCCTGGTTTGATCTCTACGGCGTGCCCATCAACCCCAGGAGGGGAACATTATACCGCGACGGAAGTTTGCTCGACATGGCGTTCTGCAAGGCAGTCTTGGGCGGTTTCTTCGGGGCATCCATAGGATCCAACTACTCCTCGATGATGCAATATGGCGGGTTCTCCATGGCCTTGGACCAAAGCCTGTTTGGGTCGGTCGAAGAAATAAAGCAGGATACACTGGTCAAAGATCTTTCTGAGAACTTCTTGGCCTTTACAACCTTCTTGGCCGAGTCTGGAGTCGTGCAAGAGTCGTTCGGAGACCCCGAGCGCGACAGAAAACTTGTGAGCTTCTTGGTAGGGGTCGCTGTTGCTGCCAACCACCGCCGCGTCTTTGTGACTCGAGACGGGCGCATAGGGATCGGCCCCAAGATGATGCGGCCCGGGGACGAGGTCATCGTGTTGTTTGGCGGCCGCATGCCTTTTGTCGTGCGCCGAAGGGAGAATCACCATCTTCTTGTGGGAAGTTGCTATGTCAACGATGATGAGCTTATTTGGGGGAAAATCACGGATAACGTGAAGCACAACCGAGGCGGTCCTCGGACAGTGACTTTTGAATTTCATTAACACTAGTCTGCAGAGAAACACATTCTCTGCTGCATGGGAGACGATATCGGAACGATTTGGCTGCAAGGCAAGTCAGACCCTCGGCCTAGCCCTCTTTGAGCGTTGAGTAACACGGGCATCAGCTCGCTGAATCCGGCGCCGGGAAGGGCCGAAGCTGCTCTGGCCAAGATCGCAAGAGCTTGGGCCTCTACCGCGAACTATGTTGGTTGATAGGTCGAGAAGTTGGGACGACACATGGAACCGGCAGAGCAGAGGGGGGAAATTCCCCGATGTCGCCCCTCCACCATGCTTTGGCAGGTGGAGGAGGAGTCTCGAACGCAGTCGAAGTTCATGCTTCGGGCTCAGCTGACAGGAAAACTGGGCAATGAAGCAGGCGCCCTTTGGTGAAGCTTTAAGCGTGAAACATAACGCAGCCACTGACGCATCGACGGACTGCGATGCGGGGCCGCCCGGCCACGTCTAGACCGTGGCCCATGATGTCATTCCAGTAACTTGTATCTTTTATATATATCCATCTTGAAGTTCCCGTGAGGCTTATTTCGGAGATTGGGTGATATATGGCCGATGAGACGCCGGCGTGTTCTTCCCGTCACATCACAACCGAAGGCGGACAAGCAAAGTGCGCATGATGCAGATCGTCGTCGTCCCCGCGTCGCCCAAGACTGGGCAAGCCACAATACGAGCGTTGTTGGAAGATGCATCAGAATTGACAGTGACAGGGGTCTATCGGGATATTGGAAGAGTGCCAGCCGAATTCATGGAACATCCCCGGTTCAAGGCTGTCAAAGGCGATGTCGCGAATGTTGGGAGTCTCAAGTTTTCCGGAGCAGACGCAGTGGTGACCATCACGCCGCCACTACATTCCGAATCGAAACCGCTGACCAGGGCGCGAGAGATGGCGGCGAATGTCAAGTATGCCATTGGCATGGCTGGGGACTCGGTCAAGCGGTTGATTTATATCTCAAGCGTGGGGGCACAGCTGGAACACGGCACGGTAAGCTGGGATCTGAACGAGCAGCAGGTAGGAATCGGGGCGAGAGTGGTCTTTTTTTGCTAAGATGCGAGTGTAGGGCGAGATAAAAACAAATTACGAAGCTGAACAGGCACTTGTTGGCTCTGCGCCGGAGGTTGTGTTCGTGAGATGCGCGTACTTTATGGAGAACTGGGCGGCGGCGCTGGAGACTGCCAAAAGCGAGAAGCACTGCTTCTACTCTGTTATATCGCCTGCGGACTACAAAATACCCATGGTGAGTGAGCGTGGTTTATACGCAAAGGTAGGTTTGATGGTTGCTGATGATCTTCATAGGTCTCGGTACACGACATCGGCAAGACTTGCGCCGCGCAAGCGCTCGCAGCCGGTTCCCCCCTCGGCGAGAATCCTTACGTCTTCGATCTCCACGGGCCGGACACGTACTCGACGGAAGATGTGCGAAGTATTTTTGAGGGGAGGATAGGAACGAGCGTCGAGGCGAAGCTGGTCGAGGGCGTTCAGCTGGAGGAGTTCTTTGGCGAGATCTTCCTGCCCCCAATGGCCGGCATGTTTGCGGAGATGACGAGAAGCTTCTTGCCTGGCGGGGTTGCGGTTGAGGAGATTGTGGAAGGTTCAAGAGTTCAACGAGGAAAGACGACACTAAGTGAAGCTGTTGAGAGGATGATGGGTGGAAATAGGTAACGTCCTCGAACGAACTAGCGAGGGCGATGTTAGTAGGGGATACTGATTGAAAATGTAGCATCGAACAAGTCAAACTGCACAGTTGGTAGCAGGAAGCATCATCGTATATTTCTACAAAAGAACACAGATGGACCAAATATACTAGAGGGGAAAAAATCAAAAATTAAGCTGGATGTCAATCGCGGACGGGAATTGAGCCCGACGTGGGGGTCGAACCCACAACCTTGAGATTAAGAGTCTCACGCTCTACCGATTGAGCTAGCCGGGCGACTGGACCCAGCTGATCTGTTGAGGTCATTGGCCGTTTGGCAACCTATGTCGCGTAGCTCAGTATCCATCGCGCCACGTCCGCCCGAACGAGGTTCGAGGTTTTGATGCCGCATGTCGAGTGCGCGATGTCCAGAGTGAATCAGAATTTGTGCAATCTTTTTTTGATTTAGAGAAGGTTTCGTTGCATTCCAGTTAGGTTTGTTTGTCTTGCTTTGCTCGTTCCCGAAAATTGACCCAATTCGTCGAGCCGGAGCCGAAGCCGACACTCCTAAACTCCCATTCCTCCCCACAGATTGGTCTATTCAAAATCTCAATCTTTTCCCCCTCTCAAAATTTCCTTATTCATTTGATCACATGAATTTAAATTGCTACTGACTTATATATAAAAAATACCTTTTCAAGACATTCATCCCCTTAACCGTTACGAACAAGCGCATCGCATTCCACCGATTCGGCATCGGGTCTCAAAGTTCACGGCTTCGTAGGATTCGAACCCCTGCCTCAGTCCCTAACCTTCGGGCTATACAGGGGTCTGCGGTTCCACCCCCGTCGAAACAAACAGGACCCTGAAAGTCTTTTGGCTTTCTCATCGGTTCTCAGAAGCTTTACATTCCCAAAAAAAAAAAAAAAAAAAAAGGAAAAAAAAAAAAAAAAAAAAAAAAAAAAAAAAAAAAANAAAAAAAAAAAAAAAAAAAGGAAAAAAAAAAAAAAAAAAAAAAACCAGATCGAACAAGACCGCAAGCTGTAGTACATATCGCTCTAGGTAGTCCACCAGGCGACAGGGGATTTACGTTTGAAAGAAAAGAAGTTTTACGCCTGCATCAGGGAGATCGTGCAGAACAGCACGCCTTGTAGAGCTCCATGACCCCACAGTCAGCCGGCGGAAGCAGCAGACCCCATTCAATAAGCTGCGAACAGCATGGCAATGCAGTGTCTCGTTGGTTAGTCGATGGTCATCGTGATGTTGTCATATTCTTGGCCCACTGTCGGGGGACTTTGGTTGTGGAGACACATCGGACTGACTTCTCGGTTCAAAAATGCCATGCTCGGCTCAAAATCCCATGCGAGGGGTTGGGCGGAAAATAGCTATTGTATCATCGCACAATATAAAACGAAATCGGCATCCACGCTCATCTGAAATGTTCTCGTTCTCCTTTCCCGCTGAAACGTCGAAAACAGCCGGCTCAAGATGTCAGTGTTAAGAAGTCCAGAAGACATAGATACCGTCACGGTCATGATGGACGGCGAGAAAGCACAGAAAGTATCTGACGCTAGCAGCCACAACTCAGATAAGAATGATCAGGAGGAACTTCAGATGGATCACGGTGCTGTCGCCTGGCTTCAAGTCTTGGGAAGTTGGATCCTTTTTGCCAACACATGGTAAGACAGCAAACCCTCTATACATAGTCGACTTCAACGCCAACTTTCAAGGACGCTGACAACATCAGGGGTCTCTCCAACTCCTTTGGAGTCTTCCAGGCATACTACTCCACGAAACTCCTGCCCGACACCAACCCTTCGACGATTGCATGGATCGGCTCCATCCAAATCTTCCTCATGATGCTGATCGGGGTCTGCGCAGGCTGGCTGCTTGACGCGGGATATCTTCGCTTCATCCTAGTCTGCGGCACCGCCATGACGTCCCTGGGTCTCTTCATGCTCAGCTTGTGCACGAAGTACTGGCAGATCCTGTTGGCGCAGGCCTTCTGCGTGGGAATCGGCAGTGGGCTGTTGGGATTGACCTGCGTTGCCGTGATTCCGCTGTACTTTCGGAAGCGAAGGATGGTCGCGACAGGAATCGCGGCTACAGGAAGCAGCTTGGGTAGGTGCACCTTTGGCATGGTTGGTACTTATCGTCTTACTTTGATACAGCTGGCGTCGTGTATCCCATCATGGAAAGACGTCTCATCGCCTCAATCGGCTTTCCTTGGGCCGTCCGAGTGTTTGCCTTCATCGTCACGGCAAGTCTCATGGTATGCATCGGCGTAATGCGTCTTCGGCCAAACCGCAAGCGCCGCGGTGCTCTCTTCCGGCTGAAGCACTTCCATGACGTCCCCTACGTAACCTTTTGCGTCGGTAGGTCTCTGTCAGAGCATCCCATCGCGATACCTTCCCTAACACATGCCAGCCTTCGCCCTGATGATCGGCTCCGTGTACATCCCCTTCTTCTACGTGGACGCTTACGCCATCCGCCTGGGCGTCGACGAGTCCACGTCCTTCTACATCCTCAGCGCGATGAACGCAGCCAGCCTCTTTGGGCGTCTCGCGCCCAACTGGCTTGCCGACAAATACGGCGGTATCAGCATCATGATGCCCTGCTGCCTTGGATCTGCCGTTATCTTATTTCTCCTGCGCTTCGCGCATGACCTGCCTGGTCTGATCGCGGTGTCCATCGTCTACGGGTTCGTGTCCGGGGGCATGGTCTCGTTGCCGCCGGCCACGATTGCGAATCTTACGGACGACATGGCCGACTACGGGACGAGGATGGGCATGGGGTACACGATTGCGAGCATCGGAGCGCTGATCGGCAACCCCATCGGAGGTGCTGCGCAACGGCATCGGGGAGATTTGGTTGCGGATGTTCAAAAGGAGTTTCAAGGGACCTGGATCTTTGCTGGAGGGTTCATGTTAGCGGCTGTTATTTCGATGGTCTTTTCAAAGTATTTGAGAGTAGGGTCCGTCTTGCGAGGGAAGTGCTGAGGCTTTGAGCGCGCTATGTCTGCAGTAATGACACTGGATCGCGAGGGAATTCTTCAGACTAAGAAATATGTAGCATCGAGCTTGAAAACAATGACGACAGAAACATCAACAAACATCTGAAGCTGGAAGAATTCGTGTTATTCTACACTGTGTTCGGTCAAGACAGTACCAACGGGCTTGCCCGATTTCAGGGGTAATGCCCGAGCTTCTGGGATTTCGCCATCGCCGACCTGCCCTCTTCAAGCTCAAAGAACAACAACTGTTTCAGAAAAGCAACAGTCATTCTCGAAAGATTGAAGGTGAGAATGTTCTCCATCGACCTCAGGAAATGGCAGGTTCTCAAGACCAGCGTCGCACAAAAGAAGACTTCCGTAATGGACACAACTGGCTTTTTCGATGTTCCAACGACGACGACAACAAGATGATGATTTGATACCCCTGAGCCCATTTAGACGAAAGACACG